CCCCGATAATAAACCAAGAGGAGTACGGACATGTTGGTAATTTTAAGGTTGGGTCATGGAGCTTCTAGGGTCTAAAAGGCCAAGGAATCCATGACTTTACGTACCCCGAGTGATTCATTATTAAAATTGTTAGGACCCGTCTTTTATAAAGCACGTATTTGACTTATATTTGCATAAATTTACTTATTTTTTTGGGAAGACGCTCATTTATGAGCATTCTTGGCCTTCATACAACTACTCGTACTCGATGGACGCGCGTGTTGCATGTGAAAAATGGAAGGCACTCTGGTCACTCCGGTCCATGAAGCAATGCACGTAGCAGTGTATGGCGCGCCGGTATGGATACGCGGCAAGATGTCATTCTCAATTGAAACCGAGATTAGGACAGGGAGAGGATATTTTTGCACCATTTTCACAAATTAGGATTTAATAACTCACCGCCCCGAGACGTGACAGCGTGTCGCTGCGAGCAATGCTTTCATGGGCTAGAAAGGCCGGAGCGCCTTCAATTTTTCGAATGCAACACGGATGTCCATAGCTGCATCGCGGCGTTATTACCGATATTATTATCCTCTGCTTGGATATTGATGCTGAGGCGTTAAGTGAGAACGTTGTATAAACCCTTGAGCATTGCCAAATTACCTCCGACTAAATACAAAGTACTGGGAAAACTTAAAATTAAATGTTTTGACCGGTTAAGACGATTATCCTGTGCTCTAATGGTAGTCAACCTGCTCGGCAACTATAATTTAAATTCATAAATTAGAAGCTATCATTATTTCTATGTTTAAAAGTCAAAATTTGGAGGTATAATCGATTCGACATGATAAATCGCATGTCAGTCAAATTTTGGAAGGAGGGTGTGTGAGGGAGGATCTTGAAAACTTCCTGCAATACCCGCCGATAATTTAGTTTCACCTTTGCTCGTATTTCATTCCAAAATGTATAAACTTTAGTATTAGTGACATAGTTCCACTATGAGTCTCTCTGTGAGCTTTCAGGAAACAAAAATAAAAATTTTACCACGTTTTTCTGAAAATGCGCTTATTCGTCCTTTACTCTCCTTCCGAAAATTCCTCAGTTTTGCTGAGTGGGCTAGGATTGTTTCTTCTTATCTGTATGGTTGAGCACCAAGTGCAACAAAATCCGCATTTCGGGAACTAACGGAGGATCTAATTCATCACTGAAGTTCTCAGGATTGACCAAATATATTATTCGAAATGAGAGGCTTGAAAGACAAGGCGCACAAGTGCAGTTTTTGCTATTCCGAGTTGCTACATATTGCTGTATATTGTTTGAACTTTCAAAATTACAAGAATCCTAATGGCGGAAAGAAAGTTCAAACTGACTTTTCGATGCTTAAAATTGGCATTTGATCGCGAAAGTTTTTACAGAATATGCATTAAGACTAGTTTTACTTGAAATTATCAATATTTCAATTTTTTTTAAAAACTGCATTGATACGCCTTGTCCCCTAAGCCCCTCAAATTAAGGGGAAACAAAGCGAGCCGATGACTCTAAGCTATAGAAACCGACAAGAACAAGCAGAAAATACACCCGCGTCATAGCGGTGTTAGCCCATTAAATCTCCGCGTCAGCGGGCACCGTGAACCCTGCGAGGCTTGCAAGCAGGACCAACTGCAGTGTGAACGGAATGTTTTAACGTCCCGTGTGTGAAAACGGGAAGCTATGATGCGGCATTAAACTGAAATTAGTCTAGGACAAGGTCGGAGTCGTGAACCGCGACCACGGCAACGCCACGCGATTCGGCGCACCGCGACGACGCGACGCCCAGCGCGCGGGAAACCATGCGTGGTGGGCAGAAACCACGCGTCACGTGGATTTAGTTCCGATCCTACTAACAACTCGCAAACCACCGTGGGAAAATTTCGATGACGACGCGGCGACGGTCCTTTGAAAATATCGACGAACTGAGATATGATGCGCCACAGTGGGTGGAACTAGGAATTTACCGTTGAGGAGGGCGTTCAGGGTGGCATGAAACGTAAAAAAGAAATTAAAGATTAGAAATTTGAGTGTAATATATCATGAAATTTACGAGGCTGTGAAATATTTCATATTTTTTGGGGCTAAAGTATGCAACCCGAACTCAAACACACACAAATAGAAGAAAGTCACACTTTTGAAATTCTGCGAAACATGAAGAGGAACCGGTATTTTTCGATACCTTTCACAAATTTCTGAAATTTATTGATATATTTCACGTAAAATTACAAGAGTTTCTTTTCCATGAAATTATACCACCCTGCTAGAGATATAAGTAGAAACTCTATCGTTCCTTGGAGTAAATCCCTGACAAAGAGACACACTCACTCTCGAACGCACCCTAGTACATCCACACGGTGATTACTTATACTTTGAGGAGCATTCAGGATATTTACCATTCTCGCTTCCCATACTTACCTTCCCTCGGAAAATTTTGGTCCTAAGAGAGGCACAGGTACTACAGATAGGCACCCCACCACGATAGAATTTGACAGCATTACCTCAGGGAAGTATTGGCGGCCACGCCTGGAAAATTTGGAAAATGAAGACAGCTCAGGAGCAATTTTGAGCTGTTTTCATTGGAAAATGAATGTAGAGGAGTTTCGAAGATGAATGAAGTGTCGTGAACTTTTCGCAAAGTTCTTCACACTCTCGGAGGAAGACCATGTTTTTTTTTTTTCTTTCGTAATAGAAGTATAATTATATTCCGTTATATTTTCAGACCCTACGGGTCTTTAAAAACCTTATCATGTTTGTAAAGGCAATTATTACAATAATGAATCACTTTGATCAAATTAAAAAAGAGGGCCACGTATATGTATAATTCTGAAAGGGTCCAGCCAACCCCGCCCTCATCGAGTATACCTACGGATACTACGTACCCACAAGAAAAGAAATCATTCGATTTGTATTTCTGTATCGAATGATTTTGTTCACTACTCTAATTTTAAAACAGATTTATTACCTGCATGTGTGCAGTACAACAATTGCCTTCATAATTCCAATGAGAACTTCTAAAGAAAAAATTTTAATTGTCACGGAAGCTAACTTTTTTTATTCATTGGGCGAAAATGTTCGTCCGGATAAAATGGAACGTGTAAGAAATATTTTCCTTCGAAAAGTGTTGTTGTTCAAAAAGGATTCCACCTGCCCCACGGAGAATCCTAGTGCGGAAAATGGTGCAGAATCGAGTGTCCTCGTCGGTTTACAGCGAAATTTCCTTCGCGCAGAAGTAGGTAAACGAACAAATATACCTTAAGTAAAAACAAACAGCGTTCTCTTAAACTTTATTCAAAGTATTGCCACTTTATCCAAAATGTTTCATGAAAACGAATTTGAAAAAATTCCAACCGCTCGGTGACCTATCATCTCCTCTCCCGAAAATTACTTCCCGTTCCTTGAATGGGATCGATTCAAAATCGTGCCTAACATGGCCACCAAATCTCGAGTGCCGAACCACCGCGTGGCGACAGCCAGCGGCAGGTGCAAAGCCATAGATTATTTACGAGCCATAAACACATGAGCAAGAGCTGCTGGAAAACTTTGTGTTATCAAATGGCTATTGCAAACTACCGCTCATTACGGCTTTGGATGCACTCGCCACTTCTGCCAGTTTTCCGGTGCGGACACCGGACAGCCCGCATCACGCGCAGCGCAGCGTCTGATAACGTCACCCCTCTGACAAAAGGGCGTATTTATATTCCCACTTGAGCCATGGATAGCATTGAAGTATATGGAGAGCAAGGCTCACGTGAAAATCGAGATACGCCCTTACGCCAGAGGAGCGACAGTAATGCTGCGTGCTAAGTGGGTCGAAGCTCACCAACCAGGCGCTGTTTGAGTTCCTGTATTAGGAGTGTTGTCATGATTTTATCGCTCTCTAGAAGGTTCAAATTTCTCCCTTCCTCCGATTTTAGGCTTTCAAAAGGCTCTTAACGCCCAATGTAAATAAATCCGAGCTACACTGAAAAAAAAATCTCGGTGTATTTACTACGAAAAGGGTAAAATTACCAAGAATTCAGGGTTCTATTTGATCCCAGTTTTTTCTTGGTAAAATTACGATTTATGGTATTGGCAATTTTACCGAGAAATCTTGGTAAAACTATTGAACTTTCTCGGTAATTTTACTGGATCTTGGTAAAAGTGCCAATATTTTTTATCGACTGTGGTAGAATTACCGAGATAAAATGGCAAAGTTACCGGGAATTGATTAACAATAAAAGTGGTATTCTTACCTGAAAAAACAGTAAAAATACCGGTTTTTAGGTAAACTCACCAGTCTGTCTTGGTAAAATTACCAATAATTGGTAAAAAAAGTGAGATGGTAAAGGTACCAACGGACCTTGGTAAAAACGCCGATAATTGTTTTTCAGTGAGTAATTTGTACCTCCGAGGGATACATTAATTTACCTACAGGGAAAATATAATTCTGGACCAAGATATCGATCAAAGCTACGTTTAAAATGCATCTCAAAGGGTGCAAAATAAAGAATGTGTATCACGCCTACAGCTCTGCGTTTATTTGCTTGTCTACATTTAGTCCTATGGGCTTCATGAGAGCTTACATCTTGCAGACCAATCAAAAAGAGGCAAAATTCGTCATTTTCCGACGAAGGAGTGCGTCTCCATTCCAAGGTTGCAAAAGTAACTAAAATAATTACATTTTTTACAAGAATGACCCCGTACAATTTTTGTCCAACTTTTTTCTGATATTTGCATTTTGTCAGAATAAAAATCAGTTAGATGTTCAGTTAAAAATTCCCAAGATTTTCCAGATAAAAATGTTTGCGGAGGGGAATTCGGCAACATCGATAAGTCGTTACGTTCTTTCGTCAGGGGGAACAACGAATTTTAGAATAACAAGATTCTACACCTCCCATAGGGACTACGATTAGTGCCATGGCGTCTTCTTCTGGGGAAAAATGAATAAATTAATTAATTTTTTAAAAAAAGCGTACGTTGTGAAAATTCTTTTCTGTTTCTCTCGCCCCCAGATCAAAATGATGAACGGAATCCGAAGCGATTACATGGTAGAGCGGTTCGATCATGGACCAGAGATAAAATACAAACGCAAGGGTGGGATTTTCATTTCCAAGCAAGAGATTTATCTGCTGGTCGCTTTAGTAGCGGTCATAGCGGTTATATCAGGAATGATCGGCCGGTATTCGGCAAACAAAAATTGTCGAGTGGTAAGTTAAAAACCGATTTTTCTCTAAAGTAAATAATTATTTGTCATGATTATAGTTAAAGATTTACTCGACCGATTTCCATGATTTTCCGGCCATCGATAGAAAAAAATCTTAGAATGAGCAAACTGTCTTCAAATTTTCGGATTGAGTGGGTGCGGACCATTTTACGTGGTTTAAACTGCACAGCAGCCAAGAGAGTCCCAAGTCCCTACCCCCAGCGACTATCATGGTATCGAGAGTTAAAGATAATGAAGAATGGTTAAAGAAAATAACTTTACCTCTGGCTGATCCAAACTACCTATGATATGAGTGAAATTAGTCGCAAAATCACAAAGTCTATGGTGCTAAATTGATAATCCATGCTAACCAAGACTTTGACCTATTTTCAAAATTTATTTTATGATCCCTTAAAGAGGATCTTCAGCTTTTGCGCGGTGCATTATGTGTACGATCGATACATTTCAAATTTTAACCATTCGGTAGATCATTTTTAGAAATCCGAAATTTCAGTTTGTAGATCAATCATTAAGAAATGTTTGTGCTGAGAATCATCCTCCAAGATCTTAAAATAAAGTCAGAAGCACTGTTTCCATTTTACAATCGAGTCCAATGCATCGACATCGATGGTTAATTATAAACAATACTTTTGAAGTTGTTCTACGTCTTTGGAATATGATTTTGGCACGAACATTTTTCAATAATTTATACATGGACTGAAATTACGATTTTCCCAAAATACTCCACCAAATGCTTAAAATTTGAAATATATCGGTAGCATCCAGGATTTGTTGCGCAAAGATCCACATTAAATAGAGATGGAAGTATTCGAGGGTTATAAGACATTTTGTCAACGATTTTTTGTCCACGCGCCTGTTTTTTCCAGTAATTTACGTCCATAGTCCAGTACCAATAGATCTAAAAAGGGGGGTATGAATGTGAGACCCAAAGTTAATTGGCCCACATGTAAATACAAACGACAATTGCTCACGACGTTTTTGGATGAAAATGTATAATGTCTTGGAAGAATGAGGGTTTGCTTGTTTTTTTGTTTTGTCTGTTTGGCCCAACGGAGAATAGGTAACATATAGTTGAGAGTTTTGATAAAAATGGGGGAGCGTCAATTCATGAGATAAAATTCACTAAAACTCTCTACACCTCTTTGGAATAACAAGACTTAATTATCTTTCAAGAAATGCCCACCTTGTTATACCTGAACCAGATAAATCTCTATATTTGCCTCAGCTAAAGGCTCCTAGATTTTTCCTGTGTACGATAAGTATCTTGCTTTATTTTGCGCGGAAAGATCTGTACTTTTAAAGGATGTCTGTCATTCCTAATACGTTCAATTTCGTATGATACTGTGCAACAACCCTGTTGTGAAATAGTTGCTTCAGGCGCCGCCGCACGGCGGGCGGGCGGCCACCGCGAAACGCGCATTGGCTCCTATAAACCTAAGTGGATACTTCAAGCATTGTGCAATGCGTGAAGTATCCACTTAGGTTTGTAGGCGCCAGTGGATACCTGGAACACAAACCTAAGTGGATACTTCACGCATCGCACAAGCATTGTGCAATGCGTGAAGTATCCACTTAGGTTTGTAGGCGTCAGTCAGCCTCTCGCGCTGGCAGCACGCCTCTCCGCTCTGTTTGGCTTTAATATTTGTACTCGCATAGTCAGCGTTTTTTAACTCATGATTTTGAAATGTTAGCACACTCTGCATTGATTATTCTCATTTAAATTGATGGGGAAAAAATATGTATCAATTTATCAAAGGTGAATAATAATATAATGTGTGTTTTTAAATGTTGGTGGTTCCGTGTCAAATTCAATGATTTCCAAAGCACTTTAATTTTTTCTTTTACATTTTGTGCTTTTATTGTGCTGCATCGAGGTGTACGCGCAACGAAACGCTCAAAATTTGACGTATTTGACTCTGAAAGATTGATGTACAAATGGGTTAAAACTAAAGATTGGGTGCTTCTTGGTTTTTTTTCCTCTTTTATTCATTTTTGCAGTTTCTGTCGGCAAAACTGTGGCTCATTGAGATTAATGTCGCTTGGAAAAGGTCTTACAAATATTTGTCACGTTTTAAAAATATATATGTTTTCAAAATGAAGTAATAATTTCGTGAAGAAAAAAAAATTAAAAAAAGTACCTGCACATAGGTATATTGTACACTCAATATTTTAAGGATAGGAATAAAACCAAATATTCACCAATGACAATTTAAAAAGAGAAAGTGATAACATTTTATTTAGAAAATTAGCAACCATAACAACACCTCCCTCTCTCTCAATTTCTCAGTTCCATATTGTGAATATAATTTTACATACGGACTAAAATATAACGCTTGGACCAAGTCACTGTTGCCTATTTTACGTGTGGGCGTAAACTACTGGACAAAAAAGGTGCGCGGACAAAAAATCGTTGACAAAATGTCCTGAAACCTATCCGAGTGTCAATATTGTTATCGATTAGGTAAATCTAACGGTTGATTCTTTTTTTCGAATTCGGATACGAGTAGAACTTGATAACTGGATGTTTGCCTATCTCTCTCTGGAAAAAATGGACTGTGCAAATTTATTTTTGAAAAAGCGTGGCGATAGGATTTGTTATGACCCGCATAGCTCGACTATAGGATTTCCTATTGTCCATAAAGCCGGACTAAATATACCAAAATATAATCCAAAAAGTCAAATTGTAAAGTCAAGTTGTAAAGTCAATTTCTACCGAAACTACAATAGATTCACTTTGATTTCTTAATAGATATGAACCATAGATATATGAATTATTCTTAATAGATTTGACCTTTTTTGTGGAAAATACAGGCAACGAGGCTAATCACGCGAGCACATCGCAAAGAATTAGAGGAGTTCAATCTAATTCGAACAGCTACCGCACGACTGGACTCAGCTGTGTGGCCAATTCACTATTCGATCGAGCTGAGGCCCGTCCTGGAGGCCAACTTCCCCGGAGCATTCAATTTCACCGTCGAAGGAATCGTGAAAATTATGCTCGAAGTTCGGAGGGACGTGAACCAAATCAAGTTGTACGGGAAGAATATATTCTTGAAGCAGGAGACGATTCTAATTACCCACGACAACTCTCAGGTAAGATTATCAGCTAACCGACTGTTATTAATAAAACGGACACCGCTAGGCCGCGGTGCCAAGTTGTGCAAGCTTAAGCTCTCTTATGAGGGTGCTTTTTGGTCCACCTTTCTCTGCTGGAATTGGTCTACTGAGATGGTGCGTTGAGTTCGCCTTCAATTTCGAGTGATACTGTGCCACGCTCGGGTGGTCAAATAGTTGCTTCACGTTTATGTACGCTGAGCAATGCTAAGCATGGGTATTGGCCTTGTGCATGAGTTGGCACGTTAATACCACCTTCAATTTCGAGTGATATTGTGCCACGCTCGGGTGATGAAATAGTTGCTTCGCGCTTATGTACTTACGGCAGTGACTTTATTCATTCTGTAACAGTATCATGAATAAAACTTTCCCTGAAGCCGCCCAGTTGTTCTGGTGGTTGACGCGTCTGACTGCTCCGAGTCAATGGGCCCCGGGTTCGAATCCCGGTGACGAGTGGATCTACTGAAACAGACAAACACGGCCTTAATTCCTAAAAATTTGGGAGGCACGAGAGCATAGATCTGTCATCGAAAATAAAAACGCCGTGCCTCCATTCAAAATGTTTCACTTTTTTTCTGACGAAATGCTGTTTTACAAGGAAACGAACAAATATTTATCCTTCACTTTTTTGGTCGACTTTGGCATACCGTTGAGAACTCAAAATGAAACGAAATGAAGCCTTTCGATGGTTGGGGTTTCTCATTATAAAATAGTGCGTGAGGAAGAAAAATTTAAAATTTGGAATGAAGTCGCTGCGTTTTTATTTTGGACGGCAGACAATGCGTCAATCGCCCTGATGTCTGACCAAAACAAATAACGTCTCCAGATGGCTGTAGGTTCCAAACAGGTTAAATCCCAACTGGAACGTGTTTAACAGAAAGGAACCAAGTCACATCAGCTATTCCCAAATTTAACTCGGAAATTTACTTTCTTACAAGAGAACGTATGTGCGGATTCTTTTGAAAATTCTGAGGGATTTGCTTCGTACCATGCAGAAAGTTCACTAAAATTTGCAACAACATCCGCAGAACCGTTTTCATCTAAAACATCTGATTGCCCAATTAAATGTGTCAACAGCTGATGTGGCTTAATTCCTTTCTGCTTGATGCGGTCCAGATAACCAGCCAAAAGAAACTTGCCCGGAAGAATAGAAGAAGATAGAATTTTATTGATGCATACAGCCTATAGTAAACAGCTCTGGCGCAAGTCAAACTTACAACTTATACAACAATTACAACAATTTAAGCAAAATGAAATTATATAGGTTCCTCAAAAAATTCTTACAGTTCTTATTCTATTCTAATTCTTATTCTAAGAATATCGCAGTGCTCCCATTCGATGACCGTCAAAATTTCCGGAATTTTTCTCAGATTTTTTTTTCAGAAGTTCCGAAAAATGCAAAAGATCCAGGACCTTTCGGGAATTTCAAAAGTTCCGGGAAAAATTCAGGAAAATCTCAAAAATTCCGAAATTTGAAAGGAAATTTTAAAAGTTTCAGGAAAATCTCAACAATTCCGAAGTTCCGAAAAATGCAAAAGATCCAGAACCTTTCGGGAATTTCAAAAGTCCCGGAAAAAATTAAGGACAATCTAAAAAATTCCGAAATTCGGAGCTAGTTCCGGGAAATAGGAGCACTGCATGGAATATAGAGACCTCGGAAGGCAATTTGAGGGAAGAGTGTGGCAACCCTAGTTAGCGGTTTGCCGAAATATGTGAGACGTGAGACGTGAGACGGGAGGGACGGGGGCGGGGACGGAGACGGTCAGTAAAGATGTGGAGCAGGGAAGAAGAATGAGAGGAGCGCATAGGAACATAGAAGCCCCGGTGGTAAAGGAATTAACTGGTCAGTGATTAATTGTTGAGCCGAAACGGATATGGAGCCACGGTGATCCACAGACCTGGGACCCAGTTCCAGTTCCCCCATATCCTCCAACTCGCCAGACCAGGAGTCGCCTTCCCAAATCCCAGTCCGATTTCCCTCCCCCGTTGCCGCCCTATCTCATAAAGGGAAAAAGCAGGACAGTTATTTTTAGGTGTTGAGTCAAAAGCCCGACCTTCCATGAAAATAAGGCTCAGCTTTGCATATACCTAGGATATTTCCCAGATTTTCGTTCCGGACTTAGAAATATCTAAGTATATTTTACGACATTTAAACTTATCTCTCGATGCTCCGTTGTGGAATTCGGTGAAAATGATTGACAAATGTAGATAGACAAAATCTGGGGTATTTGAGCAGCTGGCTGATTTTTTAAATTGATAGACAAAGAGGACAAAAAGGATGTGGGGGATCCTATGGTGTACTCAGGTGGTTGCAATGGACAGACGAAGTAGGTAATAGACTAACTATAAAGGCAACCCACAGGAGATCCTATAGTTAGTCCATCATTTTCTCCCATAGTCTCTGAGAACTACTCATTTCAACCAATTGGATCGCTCCACGCTCCTTACGTCTTTTTTTGTCTATCTTTTTGCCTATCAATTTCAACAATCAGCCTGCAGGGGTGCAAAACCTGCCTGATCGCATGCAATCCGCGGATCACATCATCGCGTGGTCGGTGAGAAAATATATTCCAAAATGACATCGAAAAAGATTTTCGGGAATAATCCGACAATGGATAGATCTGTTCAACTTTTCGGGAGACGTTCCGAGCAAATTTTTAAAATAGAAGAGCAAAAAAAAGTCATCACTTTGACAGCTTTGGAAAGGTGAGGAATTTTTTCGAAAATTGGATGAGGAAAACCGCGTATCTCCGTTTGTGACGTTTCAAATTTCGGGTCATACTTCATTTCTTCTTTGAAAAACTAGTGACAGTATTTTTTTTTTAAAACTTCCGCAATTTTTTCTCTGTGATGGCAAAATATCGACGGTGTGAGTCAGAAATCACATAACTCGCTTGCGGTGCCTGAAAATCTCCGCCTCCATGTTATTTTTTTAAAGGAGAACAAATTGACATCATTCTTTGAAGTTTTTGAAGAATTTTCTTCGCACAGAGAAGGAAAATCACGGAAGTTTTAAAGAATTACCGTTGAGTGGTTTTCCATTTAAAAAATAAAGTATGACAGGAAGTCTGCGACGTCGCAAACCGAGTTATGTCATTGCCAACTTACACCGTCGATATTCTGAATTTTCAAGCTATATTTTGGCTGGTTATCGTTCGAAAAAATACAAAAGGACCGGAAATGTTGAAACATCGCAATGGAGAAACGTGGTTTGGCACTTGGCCGTGGATTATTTTTTCTCTGCGGATAACGTGACAACGCTCCGAGGGCCATTCGCTGAGTTTCGCAACGATGAACGCGCGGACGCCACGGGCGCCCGGGCAGTGTGAGCGTCCACTTCACAGGATCACACGGAAGGAATCAAGTCCCCATGCCATTAATCATCAACCACCCACGATTGCCGCTTGTGCCCAGCATTCCCGCTAACACCAACGAATCGCTTAACGCTCACCATTGTCCAACTTCACGTATTTATGCTCAAAGAAACTATGTGCATAGGGCTTATGCCGAAAGGGACTATGTGCATAGGGCGCTCATGCTGAAAGGAACTATGTGCATACTGCGGTGCTAAAGGAAGAACGTCGTATGAACATTCAAGAATTGCCAAATTTCCCACGATAAAATATTTAGTTTTGAAGAAAATTATGAATATTTGCCCTTGAAATTTTCAGGAACTTCGGGTGAAATTGCGCACAAAATTATGCAAAAATATGGAATAAAAATATTCATATGTTTACGAGGAAATTGTTGTTTTATCAAAGGAAATTTAGCAACACCTGAAGATTCATACGGCGTTTTTCCTTAGCACGGCAGCATATGGCCTGTATTCGACATAGTTCTTTTTAGCATAGATGCGTCCAAATGACCATCTTTAATCGCAGCTTAAGATATCCAACATCCTGGGACAGTGCTCGAGCTTCAGCCCTTGATAGTCCTCTACATCAAATTCAAGTACCGTGCCAAAAACCTCCATTAATTGAAAGACAAAACTGTGAAGGAGGGAGGGCTAATGAGTTACTCAAAGAGGAAACGATTTGGCCAAAATGTAGTTCCAATTTTTATTTTTTCCATACATAAAATTGAATGGATACGTTGTGCAAGTCGTAGAGTAATGAGTGACAAAGTCAGTTTGTCATAGGCGGATCCGACGGAGAGGGGGGGGGTTAGGAGGCTTCCCCCCTCCTCCGTTCGTTCGAAGAAGGAGGTAGAAAAAGGGAAGAAAGAAAAAAGGAACGAACGGAGGAGAGAAGAAGGAAGACTGCTCATATTTGGTAATTATTCATGACGAAATTGAATTTTACACTGAGCTGCTGGCTAGAATTTTATTCAAGGCAAATTGGTAAAACTCATATGAAAATACAATGGTATGCGATGTGGAAGTTTGATAACAGATACCTCCTCAAAAGGACTGGTACGAAATTTTGTAAACTGGGTTCAATTGCGCGAACCCATCTTCTGTCCAATGGGGTATTCTTCTTCGGTAAATATAGGCATGGTGAGTCATTGACCCCTGGTATATTCTCTGGAGATTATTTAGCAAAATAATCATAAAGCGGAGGTGGAAAGAAAAGAGAGAAAACCACTGTTTTGTAGGGATGTTCTTCGCAACTGAGGACTTTCGAGATATCTGAGATCGTAGGATTTTAATTAAAAACTGTCATGAGTGCAACGATGTCAATTGAGTTTCCCTGTCTCTTCCCTTAAAATTAAAATATTTTTTAACAAGCTCGTTTTTTAACAAGAGAAACAATTTCTCCTCCTGAGATTCTTTAAGGTCATAAAGTGATACAACTTTTACGGACCTCATTAAACGAACTTGTTTCGAAAGACAATCACTGTCTTGTAAATTGACAGATAAATCGAACACATTTTGTGACAAGGAACTGCTATTTCCGACTCATTTGAGAAATAACATTTATCCCGATAGACTCTTCATGCAGATATAGGTTCTTTTACGGATGAACCAAAAATAGTGGTTTGTTATTGCAAAATGAAGTCCAATCAAACATTTGTGGCGGTGTGATTAAGGTTTGATGCGTAATGGTTTTCGAAAGCATGATCTCAGCTTAAAGCGCCTTCAGTTTTTGTGATACGTTAGGCTATATCGAGGAGTTAGTTCAGTTGCATGTCCGATTCAAACACAACTAGGTTCACGAATTGTCTAGCAAAGAACGGAGGCCGATAATCCTTTTTTTCTAAGATTTATTTTTTTAACGGTAGTGTAAATTTCTCAAAATTGATACTTAAAATTTTGGAGAGGAGAGTTCTTTCTCTTCTTTCCCCGTTTGTTTCTATTTTTTGTACATTTTTATAGATCTCTAATTCCAAAGGTGTTAATGACTATGTCTTATTAAAACACCTTTATGTATTAACCAACCAAGCAATACCTCGAGTGAAATTAAGTGGATGGGATTGAAGCTGGAGCTACTCTTCTTTTGGACTGTGATGGGAAACGTGGTAAACTAAGGAAAAAGTAATGCTTCCGCTGTGAGTCAAGCCATGGCGGTGGTGCTTTATCGCGTGGCTGTCGGATTAGATTATTAAGGGGAGCAAAAGCAAGTACATGTTATCCCTTTGCAGGGTTTGTTTGCCGAGCCAATCCGCCGGAACGGGGAGTGCCCCCGACCCCGACTGCAGTCTGGGTCACTCTTCCTCGAGTGTCACACTCCGAGTTCTCCTCTCACCCTGAATTTTATTTCGAACCCGCAGACATTTTTTAAATGGTGTAAACTGAGGACGGGGTATCTGCTTTCCGAGGTCGTGCAGTTGCCAAAAATTTTAGTAATTTTTATGGCTTTGGGTTGGAGTTACCATATTATTGAGTTCCGAATTATGTTTTTGAGAGGCTCTCTGTTTTGTATTCTTCTGTTTTTGAGAATTTTATAAGCGCTCTGCCTATAGGGAGGGCTTTTTTTATTTTAACCTGCCCATAGAATTGAGGGGCTTAGGGGACAAGGCGCATGATTGCAGTTTTTGCTATTCCGAGAAATACGTGTTAGAAGTTTCGAAATTATATGGATTCTTATGGTAGAAAGAAAGTTCAAACTGACTTTTTGATGATTACAAATTGGAGTTTGGATGCGAATTTTTTACAGAATTAGCATTAAGACTCATTTTACCTGAAATCATTAATATCTCAATTTTTCAACAACTGCACATTTTCTTTAAGTTTTTTTTCTTTCTAAATTGCCGCTGGCAACAGGATTGCCACCATCACACTTGTTGAATAAATGTTCATCGGCGTAAGCATTCCTCTACGCTGTGTTCCACTATAATTTTTTTAATTAATCAATCGTCCAAAAAAAAGAAAATGAAAAGAGAAAGGAGAGGAAAAAGAGAGGAGAAGAGAGGAAAATGAAGAAACACGCTGAAAAAATATATTTTTACCGAACGAGAAGAGGTACCTTTAACGCCATATCATTTCGCCTTCAATGTTTAGCGTAGACAACACACGCTCCTGCGCTGTCAAATAGTCGTTAGTAACGTCCCTCACAAAAAAAATCAAGCGATTTATATCAGCGAATTTTTGCAGACTCGATATATCGTTTTCTAGAATCGCGCCAACTAATTTAATAGTAGTATCACAGATTCAAAATATTTGCTTAAAAGAAACTACCATCGCATTTTTAATGAGATCTAATCTCCTGTGAAATTTCAAGGAGGAACCAGATCTTTAAATACCTCAACGGACCGCGTTAAGCAGAAAGGAACCATCACACACAGCCACGTCAACTAACGCCAAATTTAATTGGGCAATTTAAGTGTTTACATGGGAACGGATTTTTCTGCAAATTTCACTGAATTTTCTGCATAGTACGAAGCAAATTCCTTGTATTTTTCAAAGGAATCCGCACACGCATTCTCTTGTAAAAAATTAAAATTTCCAGTAAAATTTGGGAATGGCTGATGTGGCTTTGTCCTTTTCGGCTAAACGCGATCCAAATCATGCAATGCGTGACGTATTCAATCAGTCTTGTAGGCGCTAATATGCGCCGATCGTGCGCAGTGATATACGCGCAATGCGTGAAGTATTCCTATAGTCTTGTAGGCGCTAATGTGCGTTCCGCGCCGTACTGTGTTTGGCGCGATTAGTTTACCTCGCGATGAAGCTTGGTTCCTTTTTGCAGAACGCGTTCCAAATTTGGAGCTCGTCTCCCAGCACTTTTCTCCCGTGCACGGCTCTCCTGCGAAACATACGTGTTAATTTGGCAAAGAGGAGCGGAAATTCATGCACGAGCGCACCAGATAGCAACTTGCAGCTTTTGTGCTGCCAGATTTCCCATTAAATTCGCCGATCACCGTTTGCTTTCCGTATATAAAAGCGTGACACTCGGCACCATCGCCCAGCATCCAATCCGTGCCCCCAAACGTGCCCTGCGATTGAACTAGCGTGACGGCTGCATAGTTTAACGGATAGTCCCGGGCCCAGGCACCAGAAACCGTCGGTCCTCTGACGTAAGGGCGTATCTCAATTTCTACGTGAGATCTTCTCTCCGTATATCTCTATACTGTCGGCGGCTCGTGTTGAAATAGAGATACACCCTTACGACAGAAGTGCGACGAAACATACCTCAATGTCACCACTGCCTCTTAAGTTGAGGTTCCTAGCACTGAAATTCCTGAAACTCATTTAATTTATCTAGCCGGGCCTTGTAAGCAGAGCGTATATCTGCTTACAGCTCGCCATTGGCGGATCCAGCAAATTGGCAACATTGTCTTTTCTCCATTTAAACCTATGGAAATGTATCGATTCTTGGAAGGGCCAGGTGCTCCTACAAGAATCGATTATTTAACATAGGTTTAAATGGAGGAAATCCAGTGTTGCCAAATTTCTAGATCTGGCTCTGCAGCTTGCGTAAGACTAATAAGTTGCGCGATAAATCGTGATGCAGTCAGGGGAGGGGACCCTCAAGGTGGATTCGGTGTGTGATAAAAATATATCGATTCTCAGCTTTCGATTGTAAGCGCTTTACGTATAATAATCGTAAGTGTATTAAATCAAGATTTCAGGCTATGGTTTGCATTATTAACGATTTTATGAGCATTCCTATGGATGGAAGCAACGCAGCGTCCGACTTCAAATGATCGAGTAGGTTTGCTGTAATATTACAATTTCTAATCAACAAACGTCCGACCTATCACCATTTTTTGTACACTTTTTGGCTGCATATATGAAGGAAAATCACGACTTCCCTGCAATTAAACAGGAAAATTGCAACACTATCGAAATTTTATTTTGCGATTTCATGCTGTGCATAAATTTTCTATCATGTAGTTTCCATAATCGTAGGATGAGATTGCTAATTAGACTACATTTTGCAATTGGGAACTAGGTACTATTTTTGGTTCACCCCTAAAAACACCTAAATATATCCTTACAGGGGAACTAAAATCAGATATGTTGTCCCTGCATTAAGCCAGAATAGCAGTTTCCAATTGCAAAATGGACTCCAATTATGATTATCATTGCCACTTAAGATTATAGAATTTAAGAGAAAAATTCGAGGATCATTAATATTTGCAATATGCGTCACATTGGAACTTAATAGAAATTTTGGGAGATCCTATTCGTAAATACAGCCTATACCTAATTTAAACCCTACCACTCTTTTCATTTTTTTGTTTCAGAATGGAACTTCCATCGACGAATACATTAACGTAAAGTCCTTGGAATACAACATCGAGAGAGACATTGTGAACTTTCATCTCAATGCCACTTTGAAGGCGGGGCAAGTTTATGAGCTGAGCATATCTTTTATGAACGGAATTCAAGAAACTCCACGAGGACTTTTCAGGATCAAATACTCAGACCATTTAACAGGACAAGATAAGTAGGTACTCAAGGATCACACTCTCCCTCTTTTCTCACCTAATTCCATCTGTTAAATCAGATCCGCGAATTCCTGGTTGCTGAGCAGTGGCGAAACGAGGATCGATTATCTATATTTCCCCATTTAAACTATGGTAAAGAATCGATTTTTAAGAAGTTCGTCGCGAACACCCTTTTTATTTCCGAAGAAATTTCAAGCGTCATAGTTGACTTGCTTCTCTTCGAAAAATAAAATAAGAGCAGAGATTTTGGGGCGCACCGCAATGGAGATGTGTGGTTTCGCACTTTACTCATCGAGTGGCGAATCTAGGGAGGGGGCGATGATGGCCCTCTTTTCAAGTGAAAAAGAGAATAAGAAAAAGAAGGAATCAGGAGGTGAGAAGAAACGAACAATGTAAAAATTACAAGTTGCCAATGTGAAAAACCAAGGGCTCTTACTAAAATATTTCAACGGCGAGCGCGCGACCAATACGATAACGTGGCCACAAAATAATTGTGGTTATCTTTTCTTTAAAAAAAAAAAAAAAAACAACGTTCAATTAATTTCCGCTGTCTTTTCATGCGTTTTTGCTTTTTTCGGTGCTCCTCCTCCCTAAAAAGTGTTCAAAAGAAATTCAGCGAAATGAGCATACTCCAAGTTTCACCAACAACGTTGACATTGAGAGCTAAATTTCCATAAATTTCAATCCGTGGCTTATCATGAACATTTTCTTATTTTCACTGCTCAAATGACGTGGGCCCGTGGGGGATGGTCCGAAACGACCACTCGTGGCTTCCTCAACCACTCTCTGAATCCACCACCCGGGCATATTTTCTCCTTGACTTTAACCATCGACAGTATGAAAAGCTATAAACAATGATCTTGTCCAAATAGAGATACATTTGTTCAACATTAGATAGGACGCCTTCTTAGTACGAGAGTGAGAGAATGTGCGGTTCTCTACTCCTATTTGACGGGAAAACTGGTCGTTGAAATCGTAAGGAGCCCACGCTGATATCAAGAAACTCTTCAATTCCGCCTCAAATCTGTCTTGCCAAGGAAAAACGCCATATGAACCTTCAGGCGTTGCCAAATTTTCTTCGGTAAATCACGAATTTTCGGGAAAATTTGTATATATTTTTTCTCCAATTTTTCAAATAATTTTATTCGCAATTCAACTCAAAGTTCCTGAAAATTCCAGAGAAAAATATTCACAGCTTTGCTCAAAAATAAACATTTTATCGAAGGAAATTTGACAACTCTCGAATGTTCTTACGGCGTTTTCCTTAGCACGGCAGAAATGTCTGCGAGTGACACGTTGTGACCGCCTCAGGGCATTACTTCAGAACAGATTGGGTGGAAGGCAATTATCGAGAGCGTTTCCTTCTTATAGGATGTCCGTTACATATATCCTCGCACGGATTCCATTTTTATCGAAACAAAGCACGATAGGTTCGAGTGAGGAGCCTAGGGAAAGATCCCCGAGCGCATTCCGTAAATGGGCCACTAGAGAAGCTCTGGTTTACAAAAGAGCAGCGGTGGTTTCAAGGTGCCGGGCGCGGTAGGAGGCGCGGTTTTAAGGGGCGCCGTTTCGTGACACGAGTAGTGCCGGAGGTGGTCCCTCGCCACCCTTGCTCCTTGTTCTTAGCTCCCTTGACACCGCGGAGCAACATCTCACTCGCAAGACTCGCGAGCAATAACTCGTAAGAGCACTTCGAGCCATGAAAAGCGAGGAGCGCCAAAACGCCTTCAATTTCGCTGCGACGCAACACGGACAGCTCTCGAGTAGGTATAGATGTATACAGCCATCAGGCGCTACCATTGAAACGGAGTCCTTTGACCGAGATAAAACGCGTGTCCTTTCGCTATTTGAGAGCTAAACGCTGCGATGTCCCTTCATCTTCACTTACGATGGAATTATATTTTAGCTATAAGTTTTGAAAAATCCTTAGCGATTCCTTAAAATGTGAGATCGAATCGTACACCGAAAAAAATATGTTGTCAACACACTTTAATTCAACTATTTTAGCGTAGAAAAATAAATTGAACCTGGAAATATTTTAAGACCTGAAATTTGCTGAATGTTTGACTAAATGAGCTCGGAAAGATATTGTAAAATGTGAATTATTGGGAATTATGTGAATGTTAATTATTTTGATATATACACTTAGTTGTCCAATCATACTGTCTTCCAAGGAGAAAACGCCGCGTAAACCAGTGGCGCGGCGTACTTTGCGATATATCGATTGATCTGTCATTTAAACCTATCGAAATAGATCGATAGAGAGGGTGTTCGCAACAAACACTTTAAAAATCGATTCTTCGCCATAGCTTCAAATTGGGAAATATCGACAATCGATAATTCATGTTTAGCCACTGGCGTCAATTCCACTTTACATACTTCCAATTTTTTCCTGCCAAGATTCTACTTTACAAGAGAATTGACGAATATTCATCCTTCATTTTTTTTTTCGAATCCACTCTGGCATACCATAAGAAATTCAAAATTATACAACAGTGTACGTCTGGTGGCAGTTAGGTTTTTTTGTTATCGAGAAGTGAGATAAAAAATACAAAATTTGGAAGGAAAGGAGTTGCGGCGTTCTTGCTACGGATGGCAATATATACCGAATGTTGATTATGACAATTTACACTCGCTGGAGATTTCGATCGTTTCACTATTCTGGGTACAACCTGAAATACCGATAAATGTGGGCCTTTCATTTTTTATCGTTTATTTGTAAAATAAATATATTAATTGTGTTATTATTTTGATCGCGCACTGAACTGGGATTGTAAGTAATATAAGAAACGCCACAGTGTTAAATCAAACGTGTTTTTCATTTAATAGGTGGATGTTGGCGACCAGGTTTGATCCGATCTATGCCCGTCTGGCTGTGCCATGTTTCGACGAGCCGAAATTCAAATCCACCTTCCAACTAAAAGTTCTGCGCATGAAAAACGCTCGAGCGATTTCAAATACGAAGGTCAACTCGACAACCGACTCGTAAGTATAAAAGTCTCATATTTAGCCACAAATAAGGTGTACTTTAATTATATTTCTTCAGGCATAAAAGCAAAATTCATAATCAATATTTTGAAATTTATTTTTATCCCTTCAAAACGAAAAATGTAAGGGTAAAAGAGGTATGCCCCTCTTCGCATCCTTAAGCTATACAGTCGTGCAAATCAAATTCTTCAGAATACACCATTTTGCTGCTATTAACCTCGACAGACGGATTGTTCTATTCAATATTAAATACGAGGATAATCGTTTGAGACGCCGAAAAAGAGATGCATATTTTAACCGCTCAGCAGATAGTTGGCGCTTTTTGATTTCAACCTGTCTCTAGAATTCTAGTATACTAGAGACAATGCTTTCAAATGGCGCACCAGCTCAACATCAAGATAGTGGAGAGGGGTCTAACATATTTAGAGTAGAATTATCTGTGGTAATTTTGTTTAATGCTTCTGATGTCCAAACACGGATGATATAATTTCTATAATTCATTCTATATTATTCATATTTATATTATATAAATGTTTATTTATTTATTCTATTTCTATAATTTATTTCTTTAACGGTAGTGTACTTTCCTCATCATTAAAAGTTGCAATTTTGGTGAGGCGAGGTATTTCATTCAGCGTTGCTCATCCTCTGTGTGGAACTTAAAAACGCGCCCACATAGAAAACAGCCGAGCGCTTCTCTAATATACCTACGAACGTATTAAAGCACTCCCACTGGTTTGTTTACTTGTATTATCGATACGCATAACCATCTTTCAAGTCTTGAATTAACTCGAAATATTTCGAATTTTAATCACGTAATTTTTCTTATTTTTATTGTGTCGTTACGCATTGGAGTGAACTTATACGAATAATTAGGAGTCATTTTTATCAGTCGAAAGTTCAACTCTCACCCTCATCTGACGACTGAAAAAATTCCTCAAGAATACAAAAAAAAGAGAGAGCGAACTGATGGAACCAAGCTCACTCGATTTAACAAGCTTAGTAAAGCTTCGTTACCCGGGGATTTCATTAGGGGAGCTCAATAACTTTAATAGCCTTGAAGTCCACATATTTTTAACAGGAATTTTTCCCCCGAAGGAAGGCTCTCGCAGATGAGCCTCGTAAACTTAAAAACCACAGTAATTAAATGCAGTATCGAGTCTTTTTTCCCTCTAGTGCAGAGCTTTAATCCTCTGACCGCTCTGTGCAATGTTCTCGGTGAAATTAAAAAGAGAGCGTCTCACTGTGCCCCAACCCTTTCCTATCTCCCTTACTCTTGTGTTTTCCTCATCGTTTAATGGGTCAGTTGCGCTGATCACATAGAATCGTGTTTTGATGCTTCATTCTTGTAGATCAGCTAAAAATAACTAGATCTGTCCAAACAGCAACTTTTTACGTTGAATAACAACCGAAATATCGCGATTCCGAAAATTCGGTTTATGGCGTCATCCACCGTAGTACGGTGACACCCTCGACCCTCGGTTCCTTCCACCTTGCTTTCATCAGTCAGGGAGACACACATTTGCACTGATTACTCAACGTGAAATTCGGATGAATGCAAGGTGGAAGAAACCAAGGGTGTTACTACTGCGGTGGATGACGTCTCAAACCGATTTTTTGAAAGCGCTGTATGTCAGTTAGTACTCACCGTAGAAAGTTGCTGTTTAGACAGATATTATTATTTTAAGCAAATCTAGAAGAATCAAAGCGTCAAAACACGATTCTGTGACCAGCGCAACTGACCCATTGTCCATAAGGTAGCGTTGAATCCCCGATGATAAAATGTTCCACCTGTCGCTAAGAGGCCATAGTGGAGCAAGGTAAGTGAAACGAAGGTATGCTCTTCCCGACCTTTTCGGCTAGAACTCGGCTTTCGGCTCCCACCGCTAATGTTATGGCGCGAAGTTTAAATTTCAACAATTTTGCAGTTTTGCCCGAACACAAATCGACGGTGAAAGTCGGCAATCACATTACTCGTTTGCGGTGTCTGAAAATCTCCGCCTATACGTCATTTTTTTAAGAGAGAACAAATTGACATTATTTCTTGAAGTTTTTGCAGAATTTTCCTCGAATTGAGAAGAAAAATCATGACAGTTTTAAAGAATTGCCGTTGAGTAGTTTTCCATTTAAAAAATAAAGTATGACAAGAAGTCTGCGACGTCGCAAACCGAGTTATGTGATTGCCGACCTACACCGTCGAAATATGACCGCCTGCTGTTGATAAAAATGAGGGAAAACAGCCAAAATACTAAAAGCAAATGAATATTCATTTTCAAAGAATTCGCTCGCATTGAATTTGTTCGTTTTAATCAACAGCGGACGGTTATATTTGTTTTCAGCCAAGACTGCAAAATTGTTGAAATTCAAACTTCGCGCCACAGCTCTAGCGACAGAAGCGGAAAGCAGAGTTCCGGCCGGAAGGATCGGGCGGATCATACCTTCTTTTCACTTACCTTGATAGTGGAGGATCTATCTTTTCCTCTGTGTCAATTACCTAAAATTATACGCAGTTCTTTGGATATTTGATTGACAGAGACATAAGTGACTACGTGTGGGACGAGTTCGGAGTGTCGCCCCGGATGTCAACCAACTCCCTGGGTCTCATGGTCTTGGAGGCTTCAGCAGGGTGTCACAGCGATTCGGGCGAGAAACAAGAATTCAACGTTTGGTCCCGGGATACGATCGACTGCAAGTCCACCCTCCACGACGCCGCCAAAATCCTAGCATCTCTCGAAGACTACCTTGGCATGCCTTGTCCCGTGCCGAAGATCGATATAGTTGTCGCCCCCAAGTACCCGCAGATGAACGCCGACATTTGGGGACTCATCGTCCTCCCGTGAGTGTAATTTCTTCCTCTATATCGTTTAGAAAGGGGAGGGGCTCTATCCGAGAGAGGAACGTTTCGTCGTTCCCCTTACAAAAAAACGTAACTGCATTTCCATGTCGCCGAATTTTCACTCGCAAAACAAATTTTTACCGGGAGAATCCTGGGCATCTCGAACTGAAAATTACAGTGATTTTTCTACTGATCTAGTGCAAAAATCAGGGAAATTTGGACAAAATTTACACAGGTACATTTTTGTGAAAAATTGAATTGTTTGAGTCAATTTTGCACCCTTGGAATGGGATTACGTTCCTTCTTCTGAAAAAAAAAAAGATTGGTTGGAACCTTAAAAATATTGAAATGGCTCCCGGTCTACATTAGTTTACCTAATGAACAACAGCATGACATGACAGTCAAGGATTTTTAAAACAATTTCGTCAAATTCTGAGACTTTTTATGGATTGATCGACCATTGAATCGTTCTCCCGAGTTCTAGAGATCTACCTAAGAATTTACAAAGATTAACATTTAAGAATTTCCATACTACATACGTATTAAGTATGTAGTATGGATAAACTTAAACATTAATCTTAATGAATATGTTATCGAAGTTATCTTTTACTGCATAAGATAAATTGACCAAAATCCACAGAAAAACAGGCAAAACCGGCGTTTTTTCGCATGTGAGGGGGGGGGGCGCACTCCTGAATAAAATCCGATCGTGCCCAATTTTGCACAAGTCTAAACTGGTAGACTGACTTTTACATTTGCTACCAGAAGCCAATATTACAAACACACAAAGAGTATTAAAATTGTCCAAAAGTGGAAAAAGGAAAATAATGCTTTTTTTAGAAAAGGGGAGAGGCACACCCTCCGAAAATTAACGGATCTATCTGAAATTTTTCTCAGCTCTTTTCGTGTCCTATCTTCCTAAATTTTTGCTGGGCACCAAAATCCGAGACTTAAAATTTTCTTTTGAACCACCCTACATTAGTTTCATGAATCATTCACTGTTAAAAATTTTGAAGTCTAATTCTGAGCCGGAGTCTATGCGCTCAAAAACCTCGAGAGTTATGAATGCGGAGCGGACTCTATTCTCCTCAGGAGGGCAATATTATAAATTGAAATGAAGGGTCGATTTGCCAGCGAGTCTAAAGCACTACTAAAATAAATCGCAATACGTCTTGCCCTATACACTTAGGAGGAGATGGACGAGGCACCGAACTCATTCCTCGATTTTTATCAGTGTTCGGTGCAAAAATCCCCATTGGTTGCTTCACACTCATCAACGATGATGGAACAACACTAACGATAATACACCGATGATACGATGAGCTATGATTATACTTATGGCTGCTGATATAAAGCCCCGCAGGGAACGGGACACGACGCAACAAGTGCAGAACTCAACGATTCGGCATCAACAGATGAAGTTCAGTCTTGCGGAGAAGTTGGCTCATCAGTGGTTCGGCACTCTGGTCACGACGAGCCAATGGGCGGAGTCCTGGATCAACGAGGCACTCGCTAATTATCTGCCCTACTTGACGCTCCGATCCGTAAGTTGCGCCTGCAATCTCCCGTAGCTGCAATGCCTTTTCCACGCTCGCCTACCCCTACATCCACCCCACTCACTGCCCCCGCGCCCTCCCTCGCCCGGCTCGGCAGCCGAACAAGTGCACTCGCATCCCAAGCGCCGTGCACAGCATGCCAACGGATTTGTAGGAGCGCATAACGCCTCTGTAAACTCGACTTGGGATATTCGGCTGAGGGGAGGGGTGCACTCAATTTCTTGCATGAGAAAATTATACGTAATACACTGCTCGGTTTTTACTTGAAATTACAAGCGGATCATAATGCATAAAACAAAAAGTTTTTGTTTTCCTCCCTTTTTGTGTGTATGTGTGTCGCAAGAGATGGTTTGAAATTTTCCAACTTATTAACTTCTTTAAATGATGTGTTTGCGCTATAGTGTTCGTCCCTCATTATGTCAATCTTAAAAAAAGCTGCACCCTATCAACCACCAAAAACTTTCTTCTCAAATAAAACGATAAGATTAATACCTCCACATTTAACTTAAAATTAGTCGAGGGGTTCACAGGACTAAAGTACCAAAGATGAAGAAGATGAGTCATTCCCTTGAAAGAATCGCAACCAGGTCAAAGGGTCGATGTCCCCTCAGCTATGGTACTTTAATCCTTGGAACCTTCAAGTAGTCCTACAGACACAGACCCATCTTAATGGAGTATTTTTGTGCCCTCCCCCCCTCCCCCCGACCTCCCTTGATGAGGTGCCCTTCTGACCTTCCCACAAAAAGTTCCTAGTTCCACCCGAGGTGGTTTTGCAGACGAGTATTGATAATGTCGTGTATCTTAAGTGAGCTTTTTTGTTTTGTGTAATTTTCTTTTCCTGCGGGCTGATTGCTGAAATTGATAGACAAAGCGATAGACAAAAAGGACAAAGGAAATATGGAGCAATCCTATCGGTCGAAAAGGGTGGTTGCGTTGGACAAAGGAGGTAATAGATTGACAAACGGCAACCGTAAAGAGACCATACAGCTAGCCCATCATTTTCCCTCATAGTCTAAATAAACCACCTATTTCAACCAATAGGATCGCTGCATACTCCCTATGTCTGCTTTGTCCATCGCTTTGTCTATTTGTGTCAATAATCAGCCCTCTGGTATCTTGTTCAAAACAGGTGGAGCCTGAATGGGATTTGGTGAGTCGCTTCCACACCCATACTTTGTACCGCGCCCTACACATAGATAGCGACAATTCAACATCAGTTGGGCTTAATAATACCATGATATCAACGGCATCTTATGATGCCCTTGACCCTCTGGCTTCATTTAAAGGTAAGTATCTCTCAACCGTGATTTTACTGAATGATGTTCCTCTTCCCTCCTCACTACACCAACTGATTCCTCCGTGCCCTCCAGGGGTGCCATTTCAATTTATCGCAGGGCCGGGCAAAAAAGTGACAAGGGTTTTTTTTTATTATTTATTTATTTGCTCTAGAGTCTGTTCCGTACTAGTGTAAGTCATTCCATGAGGAGAGAAGATTCCGCTCCGCAATCATATAACTCGGAGTTTTTGGGCGCTATGTAATACTCCAGCACATAATTTGATTCCAAAATGTTTAAAAACGTGTGGAAACTTGAGGGCTTTTTTCATCCATTGAACGCACGGCACGCAATGGATCGGGTTCTCTGAATTTCGGTTGAGGTTGCATTGCATGTAACCGCTCGCAATTCACCTCGGAGGAAGGATCTAAGTGTTCTACTGGAGCGCAAGTAAAGGAATGGACAGCGCCAGAGGATCAGGATAAAAAAGTGGTGCGTTTTATCACGTTCCATTGCTATCCTGTGCGGCTCGGATAAAAATAAAAAGCCCTATGAACATTGGCTCATCCAGCAAATTGGCAACATTGTTTTTCTGCATTTAAACCTATAAAAATGTGTCGATTCTTAGAGGGGCCAGGTGCTCCGACAAGAATCGATTATTTAATACAGGTTTAAATATGGAGGGAGTCCGGTGTTCCCAAATTGCTGGACCCACCTCTGCTTATTAATGAGAAGAGAAAATAAGTACCTGAATTAGTTTCAATGCTTTCCAAAACCTCCAAACCCGAAGAAATGCACCTCTTAAGACTTGAATGAGTCAGCCGCTTGTTGATGTAAAGTTACCAAATATCCCTGTGATTGTTTCAGGCGCTTGCATATTGAGGATGCTCAACATGATACTACCGGACGCTGCTTTCCAGAACGGAATTAAATCTTACCTATCAACGAAGTAAGTTCAATCGAAGTGTACTTGAGAAAAGAACGAGATAACCTCTCGTCACAGGTGGAACATAAGAAATCGAAAAATAGTTCTTTAAGTAGGGCACTGGGGCAAAATACGTACGATGGCGACGGATGCATTGAAAAGTTTTTACGATTTCAACTACATGCTCAATCCATCAATTGATTTGTTCTGAAATCTAAGAAATTTATTGAAAAAACAATCTCGGTTCGTAAAATCACGCGGTAAAGCGTCAAGTATTTACGTGTAAAATTTGATCGAGGAGTATTTTGAAATAACTCCAATAGTTTGGTCCAATGAGTCCAGAGATATCTCAAATCAATAAATAGTAATTAGCCCATTTTTTCATTGAGGGAACATGCTTAATTTCTGATGAGCCCTGAGTTTCATGTTGACTGTATTTTGCCTTGAGGAACTACTATTTCTGGCCCATCCAATAAATCACCCATCTGCACGGAGGAACTAATTGCAGATACGTTGTTACTTTAATGGGCCAGAAATAATAGCACTTCATTGCAAAATGTCGATCCATGGATCCTCATGAAATTCTTGCATCAGAAAATATGTGGTACATGTTATTTTCGTAAAATTAAGAGTTCATTTACAAGCCTTGCTCGGGCCAAATTTTATACTTTCAAACCAAGTACTTCATGATCAAATATTTTACATCAATCCATACCGTATAACTCGCCACAGGATATCAACAAAGGTCGTTTTGGGGCCCATGCTGAATCTCCACAACCTTACGATTTTTTTCTAATTGAAGGTCTAAATTCTACGGAATGCATCATGTGTCGGACGTTTTCGGTCTCTTTTCGGGTCTAATACTGGCCTAAACATGGGTCTAAGGGCCACTTTTGGTGAAAAATGCGGATTTTTCTACATACAACCTCAAACACGGAAAACCCGCATTTTTCACCAAAATCGGCCTGCAGACCCATCTTCAGGCTAGTAGTGAACCCAAAAGGACCCCAAAATTGACCAAATCTTGATACATAAAATACAGACTTTCAATGAGCAAAAAATTACATATAGTTAAGGATATTCAAGGTGGGCCTATATACGGCCCTTATTTGAGACCCCTGCACTTTCTTCATTAATGTATTATGAAGCTTTTCCTACATGCTGCTAAACTGATTATTTAAAGGAATTGTGAGTATCAAAATCACGACGCTGCAGTCTACTCAAGTCGAGAGAGAAAACGGTTAGCTATGATTTCTAAAGCCGAGGGTGGCGCACTTTTGAATTGACTCATCCTGATTCACAATATCCCGGGTCGCGGTATCCAACTTGTTGCGTTACGAAGCTTCCGTCTCACCAGAGAGAGACCCCAGTTCGCTTTCACTCCTGTCGGCTCCTTTTTTTGTCCTGAAGCTTTTGCCCCGGCGTTCATTTTTCATCCCGCCCGCACGACTTTATTTCCTCCAGTTTCGTCCGATAATATACTTGCTGAGGCTGCCAAATCTATTCTAACCCCGCAAGTACCCCAATTAGAGCTTTCGATCATATTATACGGTAATCTCTTTCTATGACGAAAAGATACGTTGGGTGCTCCGCAGCTCGTGACAAGATATAAAGTAATAAATAATTATGGACAATCGGACCGTGTTAACTTTAGAAAGGAACCAATCCACATAAGCTATTGCGAAATTTAACTGGGCAATTTAATTTTTAAATGAAAACGGTCGTGCGAATTTTCGCGCAAATTTCAGTGAATTTTCTCCATAGGGCGAAGAAATTTCCTAAAAATTCTCAAAGAAATCCACATGAACGTTCTCTCGTAAAAAAAATTAATTGCCCAGTCAAATTTGGCGATAGCTGATGCGGCTTGGTTCCTTTTTGTTAAACGCAATCCAATTTAAGCAGCTGGTAACGAGACTTTTTTCGCACAAAGGACACTGAAACGTTTCGGCTGAAAACTCGGCCTTCCTCAGTGGAATAAAAGACAATAAAAAATTTAAAAATCTAAAACTTAGTTCTCGGTTATACCTTTCAAAATGAGAAGAATGGTGTTATCTGTCTATTTTTTATCGTCTTTTTACTGTACCGTTTGTTAATTTATTATCTATGACGAAAACTCAAGGGACCGGCCGATTTCCTCGCTATAGAGAGGTTCTCGTTTTAACGATAGTCGATCAGAATAAGACGGAGATTTGCAACCTTTGGCGTGGCGTGCTTTGCGATATATCGATTCATCTGACATTTAAACTTATGGAAAAGGATCGAAATATAGTGTGTTCGCAACGAACATCTTAATGATCGATTCTTTATCATAGATTCAAATGGGGAAATATCGGTAATCGATTATTCACGCTTCACCACTGTTTGAAACGATGAAATGGGCCGCGTTGAGCAAAAATGAACCAAGCCACATCAGCTGTTGCCAAATTTAATTTATTACAAGGAAAAACTTGTGCGGCTTTTAGTGCAAATTTCAGTGAATTTTCTGCGTAGCACGAAGCAAATCTCTTATTTTCAAAAAAAATCCGCACACTCATTCTCTTGTAAAAAATTAAATTGCTCAGTTGAAGGCACTAGCTGATACGGCTCGGTTTCTTTCTACTAAACGTGGTCCAAATCGTGCACCGCAGTGAACGCGCAATGCGTGAAGTAATTACGCAGACTTGTAGGCGCTAGTATGCGCCTAGCGCGAGTCGTGATATACGCGCAATGTGTGAAGTATTCCTACAGTCTTGTAGGCGCTAATATGTGTTCCACACGCGAAACTAATCGCGCCGCACTGTGTTTGGCGCGATTAGTTTCACTCTCGGAATCAGCGTTTTCCAACTTGTTACGACCATCAGATTTTTGCATAATTGGACCGAGTTTAACAGAAAGGAACCAAGCCACATCAGCTATTGCCAAAGTTAACTGGGCAATTAAATTTTTAACAAAAGAACATTTGAGCGGATTCTTTTGAAATTTTTAGGAATTTGCTTCAAACTATGGAGATTTTTCACGGAAATTTGCACGATAATCCGCGCAATCCTTTTCATGTTAAAAATTAAATTGCCTAATTAAATTTAGCACTGATGAGGCTTGGTTCCTTTCTGTTTAACGCGGTCCAATTAATGGATGCCTGTCATTTAAAATGATAAAAAAAAAAAATTACATAAAATTAAACTTCGCAAAAAGAGTAGATTTCGCTTCGTAATACTCAGTAGGGAAAATAGATTCCGCTCCGCATCCAATTTCCTCGGGGGTTTTGGGCGCTATATAATATACTCTGGCGTAGAATTTTACTTGAAATTTTGAAAATGTGCATGTATAATTATGAATGCATGCAACTCGATCATTAATTTGCAGGCAGTACAACGTTACGGAGCTTGACGACTTCTGGTCTAGTATCGAGAACCAAATAAACGAGACTGAGGTGAAGCAAATATTCGAGAAGAACCAATCAGTCAGAGATTTCATGCGACCATGGATTACGAATCCTGGATACCCGGTGCTGACGGTGACTCGAAACCACACGAAAAACAGCGTTTTGTTGTCGCAGGTATGAAAAATTACAAAAAGAGTTATTCACGCGTTACTTTACATAGATTAGCTTGACAACATCATTTCTGGTGGCTACAAAATTCTTACGTGGCATACAGTAAAACAGCGTTACATGCCTAAAAAGGTTTCTGAGAAAAGATGTTCCAAAGTTAAGTAATTAAGTGGTTCAAGTTTATGCTAGAAAATCAGGGTTGAAGCTTGAATTGAAGCTTGAAATAAAGAAGTTGGTGCAACTGGTGCGAAAATACAAACAATCTATCCTCTCATGCCAGCTTCCCAAGTACAGAGAATCTCGAGTTCGGAATTTTGAGTTTTGTTTCTCGAGAATATTTTGGCACCTATGGAAATATTTATGCGCGGTTCCATTTTCCCCGGATTACCCTCTGAAGCACAGAATTTCGAATCTTTTTAACTGCGATAATTTAACAACAATGGATAAAATTTCGATCCGAGAAAGTTAAAAAAATCTGTTATGAATTCACACGCTATCTGACGCTACAATAAAAGTTTGTATAGTCACGCCCCTTATATTATATCACGGACTGGTCAGCAAAAATACAATTTCAAGAGATAAAATCAGTTTTACTTCGAAACGGTTATGCAAAATAGTTACGCAATTTCAACCGACAGAGATTTGAGATGGTTTAGTCTCTCAGTGCAACATTATCGTAATACGCAAGAGTGAAAACTCGGTAATCCTTCAGTTCAGTGGTCATGCAATTTTTGCTATCCTGGTGTCAAAATAGTTGTATCATACAGATTGCTACGAGTATCTCATCAGTTTCAGGACATTCCGTCAACGATTTTTTGTCCGCGCACCTGTTATGTCCAGTAGTTTACGTCCGCGCGTAAAATTGTCAACGGTGACTTGGTCCAAGCGTTATATTTTAGTTCGTATGTAAAATTATATTGACAATTTCGAAATGAGAAAATTGAGAGAGAAGGAGGTGTTTTTGTGTTAACTCATCTTTTAAATGAAATGTTACTCTCCTTCAATTCATCCAGCTTAGTTAACATTGGTGAATATTTGGTTTTGTTTCTATCCTTAAAAATTTCGATATAAAATGTACCTTATAATTTTTTTTTTTTTTTCTAAAAAAAAAGATAAAGAATTACTTCATTTCTAAGACTTGGTAGATATTTGTATAACCTTTTCCAAGCGATGGCATCTATATTAATCTCAATAAGTAGTAGCTGTGTAGAAAGGAGGTATTCAAAAATGATTAAAAGAGAAAATACACCAAGAAGCACGTAATCTTTGGTCAACCAAATTGTATATCGATCTCTTAGAGTCAAATACGTCCAATTTTCAGCGTTTGATTGCGCATACACTACGCTGCAGCACAGAAAAAGTACAAAATATAAAAGAAAAAAATTAAAGTGCTATGAAAATCACTAGAGTTGGCACGAAGCCGCCTTTATATTCACAAAACATTTTATTTTCCTTTAATACATATCCCCTCCCCCATCAATTGAAATGAGAATAAACCATGCAGAGCATGTAAACATTTCAAAATCTTGAGTTGAAAAACGCTAACTCCGCGAGTTTAAATATTAGAACCTAATACAGAGCGGATCGGCGTGTTAGCAGCGCGAAACGCGCACTTTTTCTCCCATCAATTTAAATAAGAATAATTAATTTAGAGTATGCAAACATTTCAAAATCATGAGTTGAAAAACGCAGACTCCGCGAGTTTAAATATTAGAGCTAAACACAGAGCGGAGCGGTGTGTTGCCAGCGCGACACGCGCATCGGCGCCTACAAACCCAACAGGGATACTTCACGCATTGCGCAATGCGTGAAGTATCCCTGTTAGGTTTGTAGGCGCTAATACGCCGCCGCCGCGGCGTGCCACGGCGCTTCAAGCAACTATTTCGCAACAGAGGTGTTGCAGAGTATCATACAAAATTGAAGGCACTCCAACTTATTAAGAATGACAGGCACCATTTAAGAGTACGGAGCTTTCCTCGCAAACTAAATCAAGATACTGCGGCACAAAAAGAGAGTGATACTCCAAAAACTCACCAAGTCCTAGCATCCGTATTTAATATAACATTTAGCATAATTTTTGAATTTCATCAGAGAAAATAATGACTCGATTTAGGATGAAAAATTGTTGAGTATGCCGTTAAGAATATTGTATTTTGAATCAAGAATAAAATAGCTGAATTAAAATGGGTTTCTGCTTGATGTAAGTGACTTTTCTTTTTATATGAGCATCTTTTCTTCTTTAAACAAGTATTATTTTCTTTATTGATTCCTAAAAAAATCTTCTCGGTGGTAAATTTGAGCATATTTCTGCTTCAATGAAGTCATTTTATCCTCTGAAGATGTTCAAAAAGCATGCTGAACGTTATTGACAACAGATACTAGGACTTACTAAGTTCTTCGACTACCGCTGTCATTTGTCGTCGTCACTCGATTTAATTTGCGAGGGAACTTCGTGCTTTTGAAAGATGCCATCAATTGGAATGCGTTTAACAGAAAGGAACCAAGCCACATCAGATATTGCCAAATTTAACAAGGCAAATTCATTCTTTGCAAGAGAACGTTTGTGCGGATTCTTTTGAAAATTTTAAGAAATTTGCTTCGTATTATGGAGAAAATTTACTGAAATTCACTCGAAATTCCGCACAACCGTTTTTATGTGAAAAATTAAATTGCGGAATTAAATTTGGCGATAGCTGATGTGGCTTGGCTCCTTTCTGTTAAACGCGGTCCAATTATGATACGTTAGGATGCCATCAGTCTCGTATTATACTGTGCGCAACTTCCGTGGCGAAATAGTACCTCAAAGCGCCACGGCGGCACGCCTGCGCCGCGCCGTGGCGAAGTTATTGTACACAGGAAAAATCTAAGGACCTTAAATCAAAAGGTTCATCCGGTTCAGGTATAACAAGATGGGATTTTCATGATAGATGATTAAGTCATGTCGAACCAAAGAGGTGTAGAGAGTTTTAGTGAAGTTTCCCTCATGGAATTGCCGCTCCCCCATTTTTATCAAAATTCTCAATTATGTATTTTTCTCCGTTGAACCAAAAAAAAGAACAAAAAAAAAAAAAAACAAGAAAACCCTCATCCATCCATGACATTATACATTTTCAACCGAAAACGTCGTGAGCAATCGTCGTCTGTATTTACAAGTGAACCAATTAACTTTGGGTCTCAATTGGTGAGTGGACCAAAACTCCCCTGCCGAAAAAACGCGTGGACGTAAACTGCTAAGAAAAACTTGTGCGCGGACAAAAAATCATTGAAAAAATGTCCTATAACCATCTCATCACTCCGTTTAACACTACAAACACTAAAATTTAAGAATTAAACAGATGAGTTCTAAAAATAATGTTTGCATGTGCATGACTTCAATATTGTCAACTTTTACATTCCAACTCATGATTCGTTTGAAAGAATATTAATTCTCATTTTATTTCAGAAAAAATTTTCTCTATCTCAAGAAAACTCTAGTGATACTTGGAGCATACCCATAACTTATACCAAAAAATCTGAAGGCAACTTCGCTGATTTAAGTCCCAAATTTTGGCTTAATGAGGGTCAAGTTGAAGCAGAGCGGACTAATATAACTTTTGGAGAGACTGAATGGGTTCTCTTCAATTTAAATCATTCAGGTACGCAATTGCTATGTTTTTAAATGATTACGAAACGCAGCATTGTATGAATATTTACACACCCTTAAGTGGTCCAAATCAAATGTTAGTTAATCGAATAGCAAAAATGGTTCATTTAGGAATTCTGAGCGTTGCATTGGAAGCGTCCTTGCTGGCCTTTGATTAAAATCTCCCCAGGATGTAATGAAGAGGGTTTTGAGGGATAACTTACAAAATGTTTTTAAGGTTGATAAAATCTAAACATGCCGTAAGAAAACTCTTGAGTGAGTTAAAGATCTTACAAGAGCATCTTGAAAGTTTCCATTGAAAATGACTGGAAAGTATTTTTACTGAACTTTAGTTATATTTCTCATTTTGCATTTTGTGCTTGGAATTTAGGGTTTTACCGAACGAACTATGACGTTGAAAACTGGGGTTTGTTAGCCGAAGATTTTCTACAGCTGCCCGCGACCACGCAAGCTCAGCTGATGAACGATGCGTTTGCTCTTGCCCGCGCAGAATTGTTGAACATCACGGTGGCGTTGAACCTAACGCCAAAAATGCAGAAGAACAAAAATTACGTCACCTGGTTGGCTTTTCTCGACAACATCAAATTCATCAAGTCATTAATAGAAGACACAGAGTCCTATGAGGCATTCCAGGTACCTTCTCCAATCTGCATGCATAATGCCTATATTGTAAACAGTATCCAGCATTCCCAATGGTCGAATACCACTATTGCCGCTCCTGTGTGACAGCTTTTGCCTATCTCATAATTGAAAGGCGAACCGCTGCCTTGTTCCTCGTTCTGTACACCAGTTGAGGTTTTTAAAGCTCCTGCATTCCTTATTTTGCCTATATAATATTCCTAGGGGTCTAAATGTGTATTATATGTTCTTTTGGCCGTGCAAAATATGTTATGGCCGGAATTCTGATCTGGAAAAAATTGTAAATCATAATTTCTCAAAGTTTAATTTAAAAAAAAATTAAATAATCAGCTACTAGAGTGTAAACTTTCTGTAAAAAAGGCATACGACTCTACCAGCTCTTTTTTTTAATGTCTAGAATGTCCTCTCTGTGAGCAAAAAAGAGTCCTCTTGGATTGATTGCGGCATGAACATTTATACGCCCTTATTTTTCAGGAGTATTTAAAAGCTCTGATCCTTCCTAACTACCTCCAACTGACAAAATTCACCGACTCTGAACTTCCTCAAACGGATGTTTTACTTCGATCAAAATTGACGGCTTGGGCTTGCTCTCTCGAGATTACAGACTGCGTCAATAAAAGCTTGGATGAATTTAACCACTGGGTGCTTATTCCTGATGCAGAGAACTCTACCATACCGTAAGTTTCATTTTATCCTCATGATTGCTGTTATTCTCCCGATTATGTTCACATTCTCACCCCTGCAGGCTAATAATTGAAATCGATAGACAGAGAGATAGACAAAAAAGACAAAGGGAAAATGGAAATATTGTATTGGGGTTCAAACGGATTTGTTTAAACATTTCATTTCTCAATTCTTTTAATTCTTAACTTTTCCTCCTGTCAATTTAATTTGAACAGAAATAACTTGAGTCTATCTTCGATTATTTATTTTTAAGTTTTGGCTCATTAGGTAACATGTTTTTCTCTATATATATGAAAGAGCGAGTCTAAATACGCGCGGAAAAAAAGCACTATATGTCAGAGGTCTCCGTCTATGGTGCATCACCTCCATCCTTCCGAGCGGAAACAACATCTCATGTGAATAAAACAATGCTACCTGCACACGTAGCTTTCTAATAAATAAATAAAAAAAGGGGGAAAACTCGCTCCGGTTTTGCGTGCAATTTTTACAGATGCACCGAGTGCACTTCTCTGCGAGATTGGTCGGTGCGCAGGCAGATTCCCCTAATGTATTATCATGCAGGGTAAAACTTCGAGGAGTTTCAGGCTCTTCCTCTCTCTTTTACTTCATGTCCTCTTCTCTCTCTATTTACGTGTTTCGCCATTCAGGTCTACGGATAGGATATACCGTCATTTTATTTTTTGTCAAATTTCTATTTTTTTTTCGAAACTTGGTTCATTTGCCGTCGAACGGTGCCTGATGCCAATGCATTGTGAATGTAGCTTTTTATCATACATCACCCAACATTCTCTTTTTTTGGATGTAAACTTACTGTGTTGCGATGGTTAAATTTCGACCTTTTTTTTCGCCTCTGGATATGTACAAAACAAAATATGAATGACCTGGAGGAGTTTTTTTATCCTTCATTAATTATTCCGCTCGTTTAAAGTCATGATGAAAGGAAATTTAGCCAAAACCAACATGTCGAAGATGGTGTGGCCAAACGTTCGTGAATAAAACAAAATTAAATATTCATAGAAAATAACGTAGAAGGTTCAAAGGAGGTTATCGATATCACTAATGTTTTCCTTCAATTTGCCGTGTAGGCAAAAACACTTCTTCGGAGTTCAAATAGTTGCTGTCCCAGCCGTGGTGGTGATCGTATAGTTTTTAATGGTTTGTGCATAAATCTGAGTATTCAGTGTTGAAATGTTTTTACTGGAACGATAGCATAGTAGTTTAATTGCCAAAATAAAGAGTAGAAGGTTACATTTACTCCTCTAAAAAAAGCATGACGTAGCCAAGTGTCCATAAGTTAAACGAAATTATTTATTCATAGAATATAACGACAAAGGTTCAAAGCACATTATCAATGAAAGTAATGTTTTCCATCAACTTGCAGTGTATGCAAAAACACTTCCTTGGAGTTCGAATAGTTGCTGTCTCAACCATGGTGAAAATCGTATAATTCGGACAAATTTGTCAAAAATCTGATGAATTCTGTATTGAAATATTAGTTGAAACGTAAATAAGGAGGTGTTAAACGTAAATTGAATTGAAATTGATGATTTGATTCGAGTTTAAATTTGGCCATCATTCATTAAACAGAATACTAAATGCATCATTACCTACCTAGTTTATAAGTTAACCTTCGCATTTGATGGTTGTCAATTTTAAAAGTGGATTTCTGTGTGTTTGGAAGCCAATTTTCAGCACTCTCTTTGTACTTATAATTTCTGTGCGAGAGTTTGACCCCAAAAAAAAACGAGTAAAGGAATGCTTGATTCGAGAATTTTATTTTAGCCAATTGCGCCACATTTTTCTCGTTATTTCATACTAGAAAATTTCCTTCGATCTCATGCATTACCGATACCGCTGGAGCAAGAATTTCGAAGGAGAGGCCTCGTTTAAGAAAACAAATTTGACAACAAGGATGGTCGTGCGGGACCGGAAGTACAAATATCACATTGCAAACATGCAAAAAAATAGGATCGGCTTGCTGCGTTTGGCACGGTGGAAAATTGAATTCGGTCCATCACATCGCCGCCGCTGCAGCCGGAGCTCACCAAATCGAGTTCTCTGGATTTCAGAGTGGCTTTCCTAATGCAATCAAGCCGGATTTGGATCATAAATTAAACTGCCTTGAGTCTGCCATGTATTGATTTATATGATTTCATGCTTTTCATACCGCTCAGCCTACCTCGCCCCCTCCCCTCCACCACTCGCTGCTCCAACGTGGTTCCTTTCGCCGGCTCCCATATTTTCATTTATCCCGGCTTCCGACTTAAAAAAACTCATCATTTGTTTATAAAAACTCGTCCGTACTGCCGTGCTAAAGGAAAAAAACCGTAAGAGCCTTCAAGCGTTGCCAAAATTCTTCCGATAAAATACAAATTTTCAAGGAAACTGCTAGATAATTTTCGTCACATTATTTAGACAATGTTGTATAGAACTTAATCTAAAATATCTTAACATTTCAGGGAAAAATATGCATAACTTTCCTAAAAAATATTCATTTAATCCGGGAAAATTTGGCAACTCTTGAATTTTCATACGGCGTTCTTCCTTAACACGTCAGCATAGGGGTTGCATTTTAAGCCTTATTAATTTGCCACACAGTTACAAATGTTATAGTTAAAAACGTATGTGTTTATGGTCACCTTCAGTCAGGTACATACTTTTTTCCGGTCAGATCAACCAAAAGGACTTGACTATTTGACCAGGTCATTTTGATAAAATGGACCGAAACCGTAGGTCATTCTGAGACATCTGGCGATAAATAAAGTGTCCTGCTGGATTTAATTCCCATCAACTACGCATCGTATAATGCGTAAGAGACTAAGAATTTTCTAGGAGCCAACTTATAGTGGCTCGATATCAATAATTTTAATATATGAGCACCTGAAGTAATTTGAAATACACAGTTCTGCGGCCCGATTATTGAAACTATGTCGGCCCGACACGACAAGACAAAACCCTATCTTTACCATGCAATATATCGCAATTCGATGTCTTATCGGGCTGTTTTAAACTCTCAATAATCGACACGCTGGTGTTCCATCCCATGTTACAATCTGCGAGCATATATTATAGGTGTAAGTACAAGTAACAAGATTGTAGATAATAAGTTAAAATCAGGGGCATGACCGTTTGGCTTGCTAAAGTTTACCCGGCAGAAATTAGTTTAAAATCGTAAAAACTTCGCTCCTGCGCGAATCGAACTGAATGAAATAGATCATGCAGATTTAGACTGTATTTTGCAATTGGGAACTACAATGCCTGGCTCATGTTAAAAGCAGCATATATGCCATCAGGTTCCCTATGCAGGTAAGTGATTTTATAAATGGGCCTGAAATTGCAGTTCCGAATTGCAAAATGTAGTCCGATGGTGGTATCAGGCACTCTTTAAGTAACTCGCTCCGTGGGATCGTTTCAGAATAGACTCGGACTACCAAGACACGGTAATCTGCACTGCTTTGAGGAGCTCGACCAGCGCTTTGCGACAAAGTAACTGGAAATTCCTGTGGGACTACTTCCGCAAATGTCACCTGGCCTCAGATCGCGCTAGAGTCCTCAGAAATCTCATGTGCACTCCAGAGCCGAGACTCATCAAAATGTATGTATGCGCTCACGATTCATTCTGCCGTGCTAAGGAAGAACGCCATATGAACATTCGGCAGATGCCAAATTTCCTTTGATAATATATTTATTTTTGAGGAAAGTTATGAATATTTTTCTTGGAAATTTTCATGAGCTTCAGGTGAAATTGCGAACAAAATTATCTGAAAAATTGGGAGGAAAATATTCATAAGTATACCAGAAAATTCGTGTTTTATCAACGGAAAGTTGGCAACGCCTGAAGGTTTATACGGCGTTCTTCCTTAGCGGCACTCCTGGAAAAAGCCATCATAGTTTGTTGGAAACAGAGGTATCCTTCGCTATAAAGACACTGAAATTTTACATGGGATTATGAGAGGACCACTGATCCTCTGCTCTTTGCAAACTCTGATCCGTTTTTTAGCCAATGCTGCCCACTTATTTTATGCGGGCTTGAGAAGTTGGAAGTTTTTCTCAAAGACGAAAAGTTGCACCTTTAATCCGTTAAATAGTTTCTAACATTTAAAACAGAATGTGCTCAAGAAGACAGACATGTACCTATCACGAATCGTCGCGCCTCTGGCGTAAGGGCCTGTCTCAATTTTCACGTGAGTCCTGTCCTCCATTAAAATCTATGCCTTCTGGAGCTCACATGGAAATCTATGTACGCCCTTACGCCAGAGGGGCGGCGAAATAGACACAGAACATGATGAGCGAGGATTTGTAGGTGAATATCAGGAGAAAAATAATGGGATTGATCTATCTACATCCAGTTATCAATTTTCTAGTTCAGTATAAATGAAAGTATCATGGCTAACAAAATCCACCGTGTTCTTTGACAATCAAAATACTTATTGACATTTCGTCACTTTCCGGCCAAAGTATCACATGCGTCATGTGACGTTTCAAAATTTCTGCCGCCATTTTATATTTTACAGAGAAAGGAGGGGCTGCGATTTGGGCCAAAATCGGCCCCTCCGCGGAATTGAGAAACTTTTGGATATAGGGCAGTTGACGGTGCATATTTGACAGAAATAATCGAGTTTTGCCGATACTCATGTTTTTTCGCTGCGAAATAGGGGCCTAAACATGGCTCCGAAGGCGAAAATAGCTGAAAATCCTTGTTTTTCGCGGTTCTATACCTCAGATTTCGACCTGGGCCCAAAGGCGAACGGTGATAAGCTTCGAATACGGTGTCAAGGACACCTAGACACGTAACATACTTGAATATGATCAACCGTCGCCTTTGGGCCCAACTTCAAAATCGAACTTTTCCAACTTTTTAGCCCGAAATAGCTAAAAATCCATGTTTTTCGCGGTTCTACCTCAGGTTTCGACCTGGGCCCAAAGGCGACGGGTGATGAGCTTCGATTATGGTGTCAAGGACACATAGATACGTAACAGACTTGAATATGATTAACCGTCACCTTTGGGCCCAGGTCGAAACCTGAGGTAGAACCGCGAAAAACATGGATTTTCAGCTATTTCGGGCTGAAAAGTTGGAGAAGTTCGATTTTGAAGTTGGGCCCAAAGGCGACGGTAGATCATATTCAAGTATGTTTCGTGTTTAGGTGTCCTTGACACCATATTCGAAGCTCATCACCCGTCGCCTTTAGGCCCAGGTCGAAATCTGAGGTGGAACCGCGAAAAACGCGAAATTTCAGCTAGTTTCGCCTTCGGAGCCATGTTTAGGCCCCTGTTTCGCAGCGAAAAAACGTGAGTATCGGCAAAACTCGATTATTTCTGTCAGATATGCACCGTCAACTGCCCTATATCCAAAAGTTTCTCAATTCCGTGGAGGGGCCGTTTTAGGCCCAATTCGCAACCCCTCCTTTTTGGTTGAATCTGTTTGAAAATTTAACTGAACTTTATCTGCAGCACAAAGAAAGTTCAGTAAACTTTTCAGACAGCTTCATTGAACGATTTCTCTGTAAAAAAATAAAATGGCAGCGGAAATTTTTAAACGTCGCAAGGCGCTTGTAGTACTTCGGCGGGAGGGAGTACTTATGTGGTCACTAGAGAACTGACTATCTTTTCAGTCCCTTGATTTTTTCAGCAGCATCGGGGAGATACAACGAAAACAGGGCATACCTAATGCAAATCTAAATAATAAATTTTCATCTGTTTTTTGAGGCGTTTGTGATCGTCTGATCATGAGACATGTGTTTTTGTTTCAGGATGTTGGACAAGACATTTTCAAATGAAACATTTTTACAAGATGAGGAACTGAACGTGTTGTGGGACTCAGTTTCGTTCCGGTATCACACGGTTGACGTGGCTTTTGATTACGTCCGCGAAAAATGGGATCTCATTTTCGAAAAAACGTAAGAACTCGTCGTGTTCTGCATGAAATAGCAATGAATTGTGCGAAACTGCTAACCCAAGTATCATTTTTCAACGGGAAAATAACAGTATATTGTGATTTTATCGGCAATAAAATAGCCAGGATCATCAACATCTGAGAGATTATCCTCGGTCTTGTTGCAATCAAATCGCAATTTTATGGCCCGGCAATTTATCGCGATATTATTAAAACAAAAATCGCGATATATTATGATATAATTTAGATTTTATTGATGAATATTGATAAAGATTTTATCAAACAATAAATTGCAATGCAAAGCGATTTAATCGTCATAAATTGCGATTTTTTATTCGAATTTATACCGATAACTTGCCATGCACCGATATAATCGGAATAAAGAACCTCGAGTTAGGTTAGGTTGGCAACCGAGAGGTCCTGGACCAGGGCTGCCCCCCTGCCTCGGTCCAGGACCTCGTGGTTGCCAGGGGGGCAGCCCCGATCCAGGAACACGTGGTTGCCAG